TTTATAAAACTTATATTATATTTCATTGTTCTTTCAACGGGGCGCTGGTTGCTGCTTTCTGCTTGCTTTCTGCTTGCTTGCTGCTTGCTTGCTGCTCCTTGCTGCTGCCTCCTGCTGCTGCTGCTGCTTTTGCTGCTGCTTTTGCTGCTGCTGTTGCTGCTGCTGTTGCTGCTGCTGTTGCTGCTGCCTCCTGCTGCTGTTGCTGCTGCTGTTGCTGCTGCTGTTGCTGCTGCCTCCTGCTGCTGTTGCTGCTGCCTCCTGCTGCTGTTGCTGCTGCCTCCTGCTGCTGTTGCTGCTGCCTCCTGCTGCTGCTGCGGCTGCGGCTTCCTTCTGCTGCTGCTGCTGCCTCCTGCTGCTGCCTCCTGCTGCTGCCTCCTGCTGCTGCCTCCTGCTGCTGCCTCCTGCTGCTGCCTCCTGCTGCTTGCTGCTTCCGCCTGCTGCTGCTGCTGCTGCCTCCTGCTGCTGCTGCTGCTGCCTCCTGCTGCTGCTGCTGCTTCCTCCTCCTCCTGCTGCTGCTTCCTCCTCCCTCCTCCTCCTGCTACTGCTGCTGCTTCCTCCTGCTGCTGCTGCCGCTGGTGCAAACATTTCGCCGAAAAAGAAAATTACAGTCTCGGTCGCCTTGTTTGGCGCTGGCGGGAGATACGGGCGGGAGACGCAAGCAGAGAGAGGGAATGTTTACAGAAGGCAGAACTTATGAAACATTCAAGCGGAAGCGGATGTTGACAGCGGTGTGCCACTGGGTTTTCAGATTTTAACGTTGTTGATATGATGATGTTGCCCATAGCTATTACATGGAAATCTATGTTTCTTAGGAAACAAAGTTAAAGATCTGGGAGGCCGTGTGCCATGGTGATTCCTAAATATATCCTTTGAAAACATAGTTTAAATATATGTGAATACCTCAGTGTGCGCAATGTTTTCTTCATTTTTGGAGATATAACAACATTCCTTGAAAGCCGGTGTGCCATTGGGATTTTGATATTTTGATGTGACTTTCGCCCAGTTGATGTGACTTTCTTCCAACTCGCTGTTACATGGGGTTGATGTGACTTCTGCCCAACTGATGTGACTTAAACCCTTCGCTAGTAGGTAGGTAGATTATCAGAGAAAGAGAGAAAAAGAGAGAGAAAGAGAGGATACATCAATCGCCTTTCGATCCGTCAGTGGCTTCGCTCTGCCATCCGTGATTCACAACAACCAACCTCTCCTATAGGTTTCCTATTTTTGAAACTTCCCCCACCGCCTTGTGCGGTGGTATATGGCCATATATTTTGTAGATATGTACATATACATACATATGCTAGTAGGTATTCGACTGGAAGAGATTTAAGGGATGTCAACAACAACCAATGGGACATGTTCATTCAATTCAAAGGTGGTTCTCCAGCTAAACCCGACAGGGAACTAGTCCAAGCAGAGTACAGGCGGTAGGTGTGATGGTGAATGGCAAGGTTGTATTTTAATTGTCACTGGTGCGACTCGGGAGTTCTGTGCCAAAGTTCTGCCAAAGGTCTTGAAGGTATCCTGCACCCTTCATTCACAATAAATTATTTGTCATGCCTATTCATTTGTACCGATTCCATTTTGCAGGCTCAGCGCCAGACGGTGTGGAGGCGGCAGAGAGAAAGATGGAACAGAGCACAGTCTTTATGTTTTGTTTGCCCCCTCGACTTTCCTTTGGCGAATCTTCTGCTACTGGTATATCCAATATCTGGCTGCTGCCAGCCATGTTTTTTTTTGAAGACACACTAGTGCTACTGTCAGGGGTGTTCGAGAGAAACAACACTAGCAGCGCAATAATGTCCTGGATCAGCTCGACTTGTGAATCATTTCAATAGTCGTTTTTCCGACGAGCACCGGCCGATCCCGATGATAGGAACGGTAGAAGGAACTGGGAGCAGGATCATGGGGAGGGAAGGGATGACGGGCCTACTTGGGCCCAACCCTGAGCCCAACACAGGCCCACACGGGCCAACACGAACCCACATCAGAGCCAAAAAAAATTGGGAAATAACAGCAAAAACACGTTTGTAACAATCCGCGCTGGCTCGGCAATATTGGCCCATGTTTGTGACAAACCCAAGAAGGACACCAAGTTGAATCCCGTGCCCAAGTCAAGTCCAACATGGCGCAGCATCCCAAGCGGGGCCAGCATTGCTACCGAATGGGCCCAGCTTGGGCCCAAGCTGCGCCATGTACAGTAGGACCCAATTTGGGCCTAAATTAAAGCTAAGTGGGTCCAATTTGGGCACACGTTGAGGCCATGTTGACCAAAGTTGGCCCAAGGTGGAACCCATGTTGCGGACACGTTGGCTCAAAACAATAACTGCGCCGAGGATGCCTCCCTGCCCGCTGCAGCTGCACCATGAAATTGTTGATTCGCTTGTCTGGCTGGACCACTGAACTACTGCATCACACTCTGGCACCTTAAGTGCGGGCGGATTAAGTTGCTTGGGTTCGTGGTGCTTCTGAAAGTGGATGAATGATGGCGAATGTCGCTCTTCATTTTACTTGTGCTCCGACTAAGCTCCGACTTGCAGGTCTACGCATACTATGTTTTTCCTCCGCCTGCGAGTGTGGAAAAAGCATGCCCTCCTTCCAGCTGCTTTGGCTGGAATAGACAGAGAATACTTCCGTTCCTGATTTCAGCATATTTCAGTTCTCAAGCTTGGGGGCGCATCATCTCATATTCCTGTCCAACCCTATCCACATATTTAATATGTCATCGAACAGCGACTTGGTTTTTTCTTGCACTCGCCGCTGCAGAAAACCCACTACTTATTTCCAATGTGACAAGGTTGTCAGTTGTCAGAGCAGGTGCACAACACTGGGTCGTTCCCTGTCTCAGTGATGGCTGGGATGGCCACAACCCTTCGCTGTAAGACAAACCATAAACTGAAGTTTACTGAAGTAATGGCTAGCCACTACAGAAGTACATTCTGCCATGGCACCCAGAATGTTGCAAGAAGTACAAAACCTAAAATGCGCAGTGGCATGCAGTGGTTATTTTTGGGCATCCTTTGCCCCCTTGCAACATCCCTTGCAACATCTGGCAACGCAATTTCTTCGAAAACAAGATCTCGCAAGATCTAGTCCCAAGGTGGTCCACCAGCTCTGATGGATCACCAAGGAGACTTGCCACTTGGAGCAGTTTTCTCTTGCCGCATAAGTTTGTTTAAGTTCACGAGTGTCCAGACTAATTATATATATAATTGTATTTACTTGTATGATTGTCGTCAAAGGCCTTTTTCAATCTTTCATGATGATAGACTAGGTTATGTTTGTTTCATGTCCGCCTGTGTAATGTGGTTTCGTTTAAAGTTTGTGAAGGATCCGCACTGTATTTAGAAATTGCAAACGTGGTCCAGTCCGAAACCCTCAACTAAGCCATGTGAGATTCTCTACAAGCTCTGACTGACAGCTTCAATTTGCAACAGTCAAAGATGCAAATGCAAATGCATTGGTTGTTTGAACGACATCACACCCAACCAAATTGAATGTGGACAACCATGACAAGGTGCTTGTTTGAATTCAGCAAAGAAAAAACCTGCATACATTAGACGCATACTAGCATACATTAAGCCCTGAAGGTCTCTTCCATCGACTCCACGGATGCTGCAGGTACGTTCAAGGGTGCAGTCAATTTTCGAAGAGTGCAAGAAGCTATCGAAACAAATCCAACCAAAAAGCATCCCAAAGTTATCCAACCACGTACAACAATCGTGCAACCATGTCGACCAATCTCCATGTGTTATGTATATAGTGTCTTTTGACCCCCCCTTTTTTGGGGCCAAGTTTGCTGCTGCAGAATCAGGAGTGACATGAGTGTACTGCGATTGTACTATTAGCGTACTGTTTTGATTGTTTTTGTATGTGCTCTGACGATGACGTCAGAGGACATGAATGCACCACTCGCTGTACCTCCTGCCGTGCCACACTATGGGCGATCTCGACGACCTGCTCCTTGACAGAACTAGACAGAGCTGTGCCTCATCTCCACTTCATCTCCACCTCACATCCTCCCGTCCTTGGCCAAGTCTGTTACAGTCAAAGCAGCAGCTGTTGCGCTGCGAGCATCAAATGAGACCAGTTTTGTCATGAGATCACCTTGTTTCCCTTTGCCTTCGACACACCCCGTGGCATTTGACAAGTCTGGGTCCTACAGCCAAAAGACAAAGTCGTGCCTTTTTTACAGAAATGACTACATTTATATAGTTGCGGCGAAGCTTTCCCTGGAAGTCGTGCCTTTTTGCAAAACACAGGGGAACTCACGTGATCTCAGCTTAATCATGCTTTTGACTGTTTGCGTGTTTTTTCTTGCGCTCAGGTTGAGTTTAGGGTATATGTAGTTTTTGTTGCGTTCAGCTGGGGGGAAACTGAGTTTATTGCAGATGCTTTCTTATCAGTGACTTCTGTATGTTCAACAACTGTATTTAGCAACTACAGCTAAACTGCTGCTCAATTGCTGGCTGTTGCTCGGTTGCTGCCGCTGGCTACTACCAAACTGCTGCTGGATTGCTTCTGAACTACTACCGCTAGGCTTACGTCTGTGCTGGGTTCTGGGTTCTGCACGCTTGTGCTGGGTTTTGCCCGCTTGTGGCAGGTTCTGCTTGCTTGTGCTTGGTTCTGCCTTGTGCTTCTGGGTTCTGCCTGCTGCTCCTAGGTTCTGCCTCCAGTTTGGGTCCTAGGAGTCCTATTTATATATTTTATATACGTACTTGAATCATGTAGATTTGCGTCGATTCTTTAATTTCCCTTCGACAGATTTAATGTTTCGCATGAGAATTTCAGAAGATAACACATGTACGAAATATGCAACGCATCCCATACAAGCAACAACTTTGCTTCCTTGTCCCAAGACTCGCAAAGCGGGAGATCCCCAGGATGTGTTTCATTTCAACGGCCTTGGAACCTGGGGATACTTTTTTTGTTTTGTTGCGTGTAACTATGTGTAACTAATCTGCGGTTTTGTCCTGTTGGGTTGTTTCTTGTGTGCCAAGATGTCTGCACACGAGAGAAGCAAGACTGTCATAAAGAGCCTCTACGACAGCTTGCAAAGTTCTAAAGCCCAACGCAAGACAAGACCTCAGAGCGCGCCATCACAGCGAGTGCAGGCAAGATGTGCACTGATATTGCAGAACGTGTGACGCCGGGTTAGGGGCTTGATTCGATTTGGAATAGCTGTTGCATAAATGAACATCACTCCAAGCGACATTGATCATACTCCAGGAGTTGAAGCAAAGGCCGAAAGCATCATGTTTTTCATTGTTTTTTCAATGTTTTTCATGTCAAGCGGTGTAACAGCGGAACATGGCCAAAGCACAAGTCGCCCTGCAGGCAAGGCTGGTGCAAAGTCGTGGCGTAGCTTTGTTTCGAGAGTTCGACCGAAGACTTCCATCACAAGCGAATCTACAGACACTCTACTTCGACACATTTGACAGTGAAAGCCGGCCAAGGAGCCGGCCAAGCAGCGCGACCTTTCAGCGATATGCAACCGTGGCCATCACAGATTTGCTTCAGATGTCATTTTTTGATATTTTTGGATATTGTTTGATATGATCTATGGGGGTGCTGTACTATATAGTTGTTAGATGTTGCTAGTAATTACTACTTAAGTTACTTACCTTCAATTGATTGTGCGATTATTTTCTGAAAAGGGGTTCTTAGCAGGGCTGGTTTGTTCAAGCCTTTCTGAGCCGTGGATTTTGCTTTGTTTCGCCTTTGGTTTGCTGCTTTTCGGTCCATAATTGGTCGGAGATCCTCCAAATATCCTACAGATGGCCCAGACATGGCTCAGACTGCTTGGTTTGATGTTGAAACAATAGAAAACAATTAATTATCAGGCAACTGCAGGCAATTGTTGACTCTCAATTCGACAAAGCATTGGCCTCCCGGCGGCCAACCAGTGCTGGAGCCATCATGCGGAGATCGCAGACAGAACCAGCAGATTCCTGGGAAATGGAAAGAGAGCACGCGCAACTCAGAGAGCATGCCGAGCATGAGCCGTCTCTGAGACCTTCTCTGAACATTCTGAACGCCGCTCAAGAGGACGATGTGCAAGAGGTGGACCTCACACACCACACCCATGGTAAGCACGTCCTCGAGAAGCAGAAGAGTGGAAACAAAGCATCGGGACTCAACCTGGAGGAGTTGTGCCTTAGCTGATTCATGACAGTTTTTAATATTTTTTAATATCGATAGATGTATCATGATGTATCGAAATTCTTGCATAATACTAGTATATGCCGTATGCCTGTAAATATGTAAATTTAATTTGGCGGAGTACTTTCAAAAAAACATATTTCTAAATCACAGGTACTCCACATGTGGAGTACCTGTGACGAGCAAATAGCTTGGAGAAGCAGGCAGGTTAGTGCAGTACTCAAATACGTAGTTCAGCCTGACAAATCAAATGGTTTGGCCAAAAAGAAAAACAGAGCAGCTCAGATGAGCGACAAGCAGCTACTGTACATGTTCCTGCTGCTGGTGCAATATCTCATCGCGGTGCAATAGTGATATATATATATATATAATATATATATATTGATATATACATTAATTGTATAATACATATAATTGTGTATAGATGCTTGTAGTGCTTTCTAGGATGCCGTACTGGGTAGATCTGATATGATTTGACATATTTGGCACACCGATGCGTTACAATCAGAATATATTTGATTTGTGATTTCTTGTACACGTTTGCTTGTTTTGAAAAGTACATTGGGATGAGTTGTGAATGATGGTTCAGGACTTGCCTCTCAATCAGTCATCCACTGATGAAATGCCTCTCCCAATCAGTAATGTGCACAGACACGCGCACTTTCTCTGCCCCTCTCTCCTTCCTTCTCCCTGCAAGTTTCTTCCCATCTTGTGGAAACTTCAACCCGATTTTTCTGGGATGTATTGATGCATTTCAATTGCAACCTGGTCACGGTACAAGTGAATGCAAGGACAAGTACCGAAAGATCGTGTAGCATCAAGTGAAACCCAAAGCTTCTGATGTCCTTTGCAGATTGCTTGGGGCTTGGGGTCACCAACTAGCATCCACCAGATTGCTTGAGATCATCCTCAAAAGACATCAAAAAGGCGTTTGTTTCGTTTTAGCGCCTGATCAAGCAATCTCGATCATATATAGTTGTTCAATCCCTTTCAATCTTCTGCACTTGTTGGAAATTGTTAGAGCAACTGGACTTCTTGTGGGGATGCTTATGGTTTGGGAAAAGCCTCAGAATGTGCGTTCGAGCAGAGTCTTGGCCGTGCAACTGTGCGAACATGCAATCTACCCACTTAGTGAAGGTTTGGCAGTAGCCACGTTGATGAGTCTTGCTAGACAATTTTTAAATTTCATCTTGCTAGACAATTTAAATGTCAGCCAATGTCTAATTAATGTCAGCAGCACCTGAGGTGAAGTCACGCAGGCTTTCTCCCTAGAAGGCCCACGCCAAAGCCTCCGCCCAAGGCAGGTCAGCCAAACTGTATATAGCTGGCAGATGCGATAGACGTTGACAGCTTGACATGTATTTCCAGTTGAGCAGCGGCCATGACCCCCGATGATCATTGTTCTGGGGATCTACTCTCGCTATCTCTCGGTGATGCAAAATCCATCGATCACCGTGGATATGTTGAACCAAACTGATGGACCCAAGGAGTGAGAAATCAACGGCCAAACACAAAAACCCTGCTCAGATGAGATTCCGAAAATATACGAAAATACAGAGACAACAGTACAACATTGAGCCAACACCTCCCATCAGAAGCCGGTTCAAACAAGACCCCTGCCTTCTTTCCTTCCTTCCCTCCCTTATTGATTGAATATGTGGTCATAAGCATTGATTGTTCCCCAAACAGCGTGTCCACACTGAGGGGTTCTTACGGTAGGAGTTAAGGCCGGGGTTAGATCAGGGTGCTCCATCTGGCCGCCGGCATTTTTGCTGTAAATTCTCGCATAAAATTGCTCTTGTGAAATGTCCACGTGCATTTCAATTCAACTGCGCAGGCTGGCGCAAAATTTGGGTCCCGAGGTTGTCCCGCTCTTGGGCCCCGTTTTTTTTTGCTGTAAATAAATTCCCGCATTTGAATCATTTGATTTGCTCTATAAGACGTCCATGTGCATTTCGACTGCATAGGCTCGCGCAAAATGTGGGTGCCGGGGTTGTCTCGGTCTTGGGCCCCGTTTTTTTGCTGCAAATAAATATAAATAAATTATATAAATTTTCAGCGACATTTGGGTCAAAGTAATCATAATCATGAATAAGTGTGAATGTGCTTGACCAAAAATGAAGCTGTTTTTTCCGGACCATGAGACAGGAATCCACAAGATTTTGGCCACTCAAAGAGAACTCTCCGGTATCACTGCGTCTCGCGACCTTCATCATGTTTAGTAATGCTTAATCTGATTTGCTGTCATATGGTGCAAGCTTGACCGATGAAGGCTTTACTTGATTCCTCCATTGAGCGTTTCTCCTCTCCAGGCAGTCGAGAATTTCTGTGGTGATTGAGCAGGATGCTGTTCCACAGAAGAAAGAGACGTGCTCAATGTGTCCAACATCTTGCTAGACTTGCATGTCCACCACAAGAAACTACAGATAATTTTGAATCATTTGTTTGGGTTTTCTGGACTTCACTCCCTGTGCTGGCACCTCGAACCCGGAGAGGAGTCTGACCTGCAGACATGGGAGATGATGCTCAAGAAGGCTTCATGATTTGTGGAAAGATGTGGTAGTTCTCTGTAAATGCATCTGATGATTCTCCATGATTCCGTTGGATAAAATGAATACTGTAAAATGGTTCCAGGTTCCGATTGGTCAATGTTACGCGTTAGTCTGGCAAATGGGGAATTCTTGGAGTATTGTGCAGCCCCCAAGTGTTGAGTCCATTCTGGATTCCTTTCCTTTTCCCAGCTTTTGATCACCTACTGTATGCTTTTGAAGCAGACTTTCTCGATTGATCCGTACTGTACTTTGCTGAAATGCGGCATAGTAAGGGTTACCACTTCGTTGGGGCTGCATGGTGTTTCTATTTTGACTAAACTGCTCGTTCTGGATTGACAGGTGTGGTTTGGAAGACTGAAGGAGTTTGACAGCAACAGTGGTAGGAAGAGGATAGGAAGGGGAGCGCTTGATAGTCCGTGTACATTGCATGACCTGGAGGCAGCTCCAACCCCTCAGAAGGCGGCATGTCCAGAGTATCCGAGCAAAATTTACGGACCCCGTGACGTTCCATGCTTCGATGTTTGCTGCGGTCACACCTTTGTTGGAGTCCAGATTCAAATTCTGGATTGAATCCTGAAGGCTTTCATATGCAAAAGCTTGTAAAGCAGATTAGATAAAACATACTAAAACAATCTAAAACATAAACATAGTAAAGCATAAACATAGTAAAACAATCAGTTTTCCGACCAAGGCATTTGCCTCCCAACGAACCTGGGATTGGGATGCCTTGGACCTGGCAATCTTCCAGTATTGACGCTGTAGATGCAAACCAGCACAAGGTCCGGCACTGCATGGCACAACAAGCTTCAGCCAACAGCCATAACATGATCAGAATGCTCTGGACGCAACTTTTATCAGTGAGATATTTCAGTTCTTGGGACATCCAGGGACTCTTCCAACAACTGCGACGGAACCAGCTGTCTCAATTTTGCGGAGAACAGATGTATACAGATGCTATATTTCGACAAAGAAATTATCAGAGTTGGTTTGTCCAGAACCATCCCCAACCAACACCCTTGTGGGACTTTGCACTAGCAGCTTTGTCCACACAGATGTCGTGCAGCTGGGCAGGATTCCTTGACAAGCCGGGAACAAACCAAATCCGGCAGCTCCACGGCAGTCATCTGATGTCACGTTGAAATACGTTGAATATCTTTGACTAAAACTTGGCTTGAGCTGTGGCCCAGCTGTAAAAAGTGAACAAAAGTGATACATTGTGTGCTTTGATTGTGCTTTGTGAGACAGCCAGCCGGCAGTTGAGTCTTCTCTTGTTTGGCTTAGCTGCCGTCAGCCAAGGCCGGTGGAACCGAAAGTCCTACATTTGATGCTTGTTGTGTATTCACACTCTACTTGGCTGGGGTTTGATGAGTATTTTCTAGAAAGGCGACCGCTGCAGTGTTTTTCTATCCGACGTGGGACAAAAAGACCATATGTCACCATCGTATCTCAGCGTCATTTAGTCGACACAGGTTCGTTTTGTACTCCGAAAATATATCCGAGTTATATGAGTCATTCCGAGTCATTGGATCATGTGAAATGTGCAATGGAGTACAGTAGACAAGATACAAAGCGCAGAGGCTGCCCCCATGAATGCATCCATCTGAATCGACTGTATGTAATTATTTGCACATTGATGATGTTGGGGTTGGTGGCTGCATGTGGGGCCATTTTGGTCCTCTGGATGTCTATTGTCTACGAGAATCCAATCATCCCATGTTTTTGTCATATAAACTACAGGTAGTACCGCACAAAGCCGTGGCGGAAGTTTCAAATATGGAAACTATAAGAGAGGTGAACTGTTGTGATGCATGGATGGCAGAGCGAATCCACTCATGGACCGAAAGCTGGCTGTGACTGGTTGTGATTTTTGGAGTGGTTGCAGTGCTCACCTCACCCACAACTGCAGGTTGTAGCGTGGTGTAGCAAAGTGCAATTTAATTGCAGTTGTAGCTGTAGTTGTGGTGGTAGTTGTAGTTGTAGTGGTAGTTGTAGCTGTAGCTGTAGTTTTAGTTGTATGCATTTGCGATTTTTCCACTCCACCTGTCTAAAGTATTGCGCCTGCCACGAAAAATTGATGCTAGGTCGTACGAAGTGCTGCACCTGTCATGCAAAATCATCTTAGCAAACCTACAGATCGGATGCTCCAAAATGCAACCTCTCTCAGGAAATCAGCGCCCTGGCCTCCTAACATCTCTCATGAACATGTCTTTTGCACTGCGCCTGCCACGCGAAATGCATCTTGGCAGATCCTCTTCAAATGTCCCCGCCTGCCATGGTTTTTGGAAATGCGACAAGTTCCGAACCTGGTGTGTTTTGTACAATTTGACTTGAAATGTGCTTTGCGCCACAACGACGTGCACTTTTTCGACATCTCAACTTCCAAAAGTGTTCCGAACCTGGTGTGTTTTGTACATTTTGACTTCGAAATGTGCTTTGCGCAGCAACAGCGTGCACTTTTTCGACATCTCCAAAAGTGGTCCGAGACCGTCAGTTCTTTACACTTTTGGCTTCGAAATGTGCTTCGCGCAACAACGGCGTGCACTTTTTCGATATCTCAACTGCCAAGAGTGGTCCGAGAACGTCAATTTTTCACACTTTTGACATCGAAATGTGCTTCGCGCCACAGCAGCGTGCAATTTTTCATCTCTCATTTGGCCAGATGGCTCCGCACCCGCCGCTTTAGCGAGCCTACTTTTCGACCCTCCGGAGCCACAAATCATTGTCAAAACACCGTGAGTCGCGAATTTTCTACCTTTTTTGCGCACCTGCATCTTCTTCTCTCTGACTTTCTCTTCTCTGATCTTCTTTCTTCTTCTCTTCTCTTCTCTGATTCTTGCCACCTCTGCTTTTCCATCTGTCCATATTGTCGGAAGTTTGACTTCTAAACTTCCTTCGCTAAATTCAGGGCATCGCACAAGGGTCCAAGGTAGTGCAGACTTGGATAAAGATAGCATTTGCAGTTGCAGCTGCATTTGTATTTGTTAGCTGTTGTTGTTGTTGTTGTTGTTCTTGTTGTTCTTGTTCTTGTTCTTGTTGTTGTTGTTGTTCTTGTTCTTGTTCTTGTTCTTGTTCTTGTTCTTGTTTTTTGTTGTTGTTGTTGTTGCTGCTGTTGTTGTTGTGGTGGTGGTGGTTGTGGTGGCGGTGGTCCATCTGACCATTCATCTTTTTGGCTCAGTTTTTTCAGCGTCGCAAAATCGTCAAATGGATTGCGTTTTTTTTTAGGCAGAAAACGCTCTAAATACCAATGCGTTCGGCACTGCAAAAGTCAAAAATCCGGAATTTACATCTATTTACACGTATTTACAATGTTTTTGCCTCCACGATCAAAAAAGACTGTATTTACAGTGTTGTTTGGACAGCATCTACTAAACAAATACTGGTATTTATGCAGTTTTCAGCATGTTGCAAGCACTAGTTGTTCCATGCCAAAGCGACAAAACACTGTAAATCACAGTGTTTGGGCTTTCCTTGGCAGCAGGTCCATTTTTGGTCGAAAATATTTTCGCTTTTGACCCACCAAAAGTATCCAAAAGTACCAAAACGCCACCAGAGTGAAGGATTTTCGGGGTGTCTGCGGCTGGGGCGCGCGCTCCACAGCAAGCTGGGGTTGCTGATCAAGAGTACATCGAGGGCATCGCTGGATTTCAAGGCTTACGCCTGACGACTGGCCGGAAGGGTGGAGGGTTGAAGCCATATGTTGGGCAATGTTAGGGCTGGTTGAAGCCGGCTAGGGCCATCTAGGAGGCATGTTGGGGATATGTTCGGGCCATGTTAGGGATTTGTTGGACCTCCCACAAAACAGCACCCAGCTGCAGGTTTCACCTCCAGTCTCCCACGTTGCCTTCTGCACCCCCTAGAAAGAAGCTGCCGGACCAAGCCAGTGCTCTCGGACAACACTTTTCCTCTGACGCCCTCCCCCTGCTGTTGGCTGAGGCTGCAGATATTATGTCATAATCCTGTATGCATCAAGCAGCGTGTAGTTCTTGCATTTTGCGCTATTCCACTGACAGAATCAAGTTTTGCTGAGGGGGGCCTCCCCGCCTCAATGTCATGCACCCTGAGTGGCATTGGGTTGATTTGGAATTGAAGGGGATGCGCGCCAATTTTTGTTTCAGCCTTGATCTTTCCAAAATAGCGCTTTAGCCCCCCATGAAATGGTTGCGAATGATGCTCGTAGGTCCAGATATCGCTGTTGTTGCCACTATTGTTCTTGTTCTTGTTTTTGTTCTTCTTGTTGTTGTTGCTGCTGTTGTTGTTCCTGTTGCTGTTGCTGTTGTTGCTGTTGTTGTTGTTGGTGGTGGTGGTTGCGGCTGTGGTTGCCGCTGCGGTTGCTGCTGTGGTTGCTGCTGTTGTTGCTGCTGTTGCTGTCGTCGCCGCTGCTGTCCTTGTTATTGTCGTCGTTGTTGTTGCTGTTGATGTTGATGTTGCTGATGTTGTGGGGGCATAATGGGCTCTACATGGTCGTGCAAGAGAGGAAGAGAATTGCCATGGCTCCGGCCCCGCTTATTTTACGCACACAATCAAGTACAAGTACTTTTCTTGTCAGGATACTTTTCTTGTGCCCATTGTTGCCTGTGTGTGTGTGTTTTTCATGCCTTCGCCAAGGGCAGTTCCGAAAAGAGGAGGAGGAGGAGGATAAAACTGCAGCGGAGGCAGCTTCTGCGCATTTCTGCAGTAGAATAGAACACACCTTGACCGGACTTTGGCCATCTTTGACCTGGCTTACGTCTTGATACTGATTTACTCAGGCATACAACCGCAGGGCACAACAAACCGTCATCTCTTATCCGGATAATTAGATCATACTAGATCCCAACAGGGTTGGACCAACTCTGCTGAGCAAGCGCTCTCAATATCTCTCAAGACAGTGAGCTAATTTGTGGCGTAGATATGCGTAGATGCTGTATTGCATCTTGTCCTGGAGATTTGTGGTTCAAGCACTATAGGTGAGAATGAGCGAGCAACTTCAGTGGCCACCGCTGATTCGGGAAGGCAATGGCCCATGGTGGCACGCAGTTAGTGGGAGTCCCATCCTGGTTGCTGTCCTGAGTTTGAGTCATGCTGTCCCAGCTATGCCTACAAGTAGTGCTACCTCACGTAGAAGCGACGCAAGCAACTTCTCCAAGAGGTCTGCGAGAGCCGGCGTGCTGGGCCAGGAGCGCTTTGCCGAGAGAGCTGGACGCTTGCCATTCTTAGGTCTTGGGGCAGCTGGTGATGCCGCCCATAGGGCTTGTCAGATCGCAGTCTCCACGTGTCCCAAATAAAGGGTCATAAGCAATATCGCACAGCAGCTGTGGTTAATTTAGGTGCAGCGCGATTTTGGTGGAGGCGCGTGTAGACTGCAGCACCTCGTGGCGCTAGCTGGAGGCACAGTTCAACACCCTGAGCATCGCATATTGATTAGGATCAATATCTTGATTTTGAAGGCTCAAAAATCAATATGAGATATTGATTTTTCAGATCAATATTTCAATGTGAAAAATGATGATTTCCAGGTCAATATTTCAAAAGAAAAATCAATATTTCAGGCCATGCAGCCGACCAAGTTTTCCAATGAAAAATGAAGATTTTCCCTCTTGGCATGGGTCAAACTTGGCCTTTTCCAAAGCCTTCTGGACTTATAAAATCGATACTTCAATAGATGACATTTTGGGATTTCTTCAGAATCCCCATCCCAAAGCATCCTTTTTTCACGCATTTCTCATGATGTCTTTGCATCAGTCCAGCTATATCTACACCTAAATCAACCTTTTCCAAGGCCATTTTCCAAAACCCAGATGCCTTTCCCAAAGCATATGTGCCTTTTGCCTTTTCCAAGGCATGGCCAGCCACTTGGGATTGCTTTTTCCAAAGCAACATGCCACAAGTTGGCACTGCACGCCAAAGCTTTTTCCAAAGCCACAGGGGCTACAATTATAAAAGATGTCTTTTCCAAAACCCACATGCCTTTCCCAAAGCATGTGTGCCTTTTGCCTTTTCCAAGGCATGGCCAGCCACTTGGGTTTGCTTTTTCCAAAGCAAGTTGCTGCAACTTGGCTACCTCATCCCAGCCAAAGCCTTTTCCAAGGCCACATGAATTGAGACAGCAGGTCTTTTCCAAAACCCACAATTTTGCCCCAAATCATGTTTGCCTTTTGCTTTTTCCAAAGCATGCCAGGCTTTTGCTGTGAAACACCTTTTCCAAAGTGCCACAGCCTAGGCCAAGCCATGTCAGGATACATGGAAGGTGGGCAGCCACAATCCTTCTAAGCCAGCTTGCTGGGCAATCTTTCTTAGCTGCCGGCAGAGCCAATAGAAATCGGTTGCAGCTTCAATTTCCCAATTGTAGCCCCCACCATAAGGTGACAAAGTGGCTGAAGTAATTGCAAATTCATGCACTGTCCACTGCATGTTTTCATACAGCTTGTTTATTTTGATTCTCCCTTCATATTTAGATTTTCCAATTGTAACATGTGGAGAAATCAGCAGGGGCAAGAATTCGCAATGAAACTCCAGCCCTATGTAGACCTCCTGGCCTGGCAACAGGTCGATCCACACAGAAAGATCTGTCACCTTCAGTGGTCTTTGGCACACTGCCAGCTGTGTGCTTCTAAAGTGCTGCTCTGGGGCAGCATATGCAGGAAGGGTCAGGATTTCCTCCCTGGCTTCCTTCCTTGGGGCCTGATCTGTTGTTGGGAGTGTGGCCATTGCACAAGCTTTTTCAAGCCCCAACAACCAAGTCTTTTCGAAGACTACGCCCTGCATACAGCAAAAGTCTTTTCCAAGACTTGGCAGGCTAGCCTTTTCCAAGATTTTTAGGGAAACCCTTTTCCAGGGCAAGAGCCTTTTCCAAGACTTGGCAGGCTAGCCTTTTCCAAGACCTATAGGGGAACCCTTTTCCAGGGCAAGAGCCTTTTCCAAGACTTGGCAGGCTAGCCAAGACCTTTAGGGAAACCCTTTTCCAGGGCAAGAGCCTTTTCCAAGACTTGGCAGGCTAGCCTTTTCCAAGATCAGGGAGCCTCTTTCCAGGGCCAGGGCAGCAGAACTTTTCCAAGCTCACCAACAGCTCAGCTACTGCAAGAGGCTGATTGCTGTGTGTTGTTTGTGTGGTGTGTTGTGTGTCAGTGTGTTGTTGTTACCAGTTTGTATGTTGTTGTGTTGTGCATGTTTGAAATTGAAGTTGTGTGTGCTGTGCATGTTTGAAATTGAAGGTTCCAGACAAACTGAAGCCAACAGCTGCAGATGGTAGCAATGAGCAACATGGCATGCCGTTGCAATATGACAACTAATCTCTGGGTGAATAAGCAGGTGAACTCATGGATGTTTTTGCCACCCCAATTGCTACATGTGTCATGCTTGGGGGTGGCAGCAGCCACACCTTTTTCCATACCAGCCAAAACTGAGGCTGCCCCTGTTAGGCTGCCCAAAGGTCTTTGCCAAACCTGGTGCCTATGGCTATGGGTTGCAAGATGAAGGATATTCCAAATTCAATAACTATGAAAATTCTGGGTTTACAGATGCAACCCATACCTCTTAGCACTACTATATGCATGCCTTTTCCAAGACATGTGCAAAGACATCCAAAGTCTTTCCCAAGACCATTTGGCAGTGACCTTTTCCAAAGTCAATTGCCTTTCCTGCCCCGTCTTTCCAAGACCTTTTGGCACTTACCTTTTTCCAAAGCCAAGTGCCTTTCCCAAAGTCTTTTCCAAGACCATTTAGCACTGACCTTTTCCAAAGTCAATTGCCTTTCCTGCTCCCAGCTGTGGACATGGCCCTGCCACCAATACTTTTGAGCTCTTTGGTCTCATCTTTGGCTGTCTTGACAATTGTGGCCACATCGACCAGCTTCTTCTCCATGGCAGCAGGATCATTGTTGTTCTTTCCAGACAACACGGCTTTCAGGTCACCAGTAGCTTTTCCAAGCTGTTTCAAGGCATTCTCTGCAGATGCCTTGCCAACCTTGTTCAGCTTGGACTTAGCTTTTTCCAAGGCCACTTCCAAGTCTGACTGGCTGGAAGCAACCATGTTCCTGCCTGTCTTGCAAGCTTTCAATACCTTTTCCAAGGTATCTAGCTTGTCATGGTCAGCCTCTTTGTTGTTGCTTTTGTTTTTGGTTTTGCCTTTTCCAAAGCTTTTGCCCTTCCCATGGCTCTTTCCAGGGCCTTTGCCCTTGGGGTGATTATCCACCTCCAGGGAATGGCACTCTTTGGTGAAGAGATCCATGAACTTTTCCAAGTCACCCTCTTCTGGATCATACTCCACCCCACTCTGCCATTCCTTGTTCCTCTTGGTGGTGACCTCCCTGTGGAAGTCCTGGGTGTCTTTATATTCATAAACACCCCATGTGGAAGGGCACTCTCTCCAGACAACTCTGCCAGGCTGCAAATGAAGGTCAAGTTCATCTGGTGTGAACTTAGCCAAGATTTGCAACTCTGTCTGTCAGTCATCATTCTTGGTGACCTTTTCTCCTACAGATACCTTTTTCAAGGCTGACATGTAGGATTTGCCTTCCTTTTCCAAGAGAAAGGCTGCAGCTGCAATGCCTTTGTCTTTCTTAGACAAGTCATTGTAAGCTGCCTGCTCCTCCTTGGAGGCATGCTTGAGAGCAGTCTGGTGCTTGCCCCAAGCCTTTGGCTTCTCCAGCTTTGACATGCTCTCATGCAAGACAATGGCAGCCTGACCTGGGCCTTCTGCCTCTTCAGCTGCTGCCTTCATCTTGTCCTCCAAGCTCATCTGGCCTAACTTTTCCAAGCTGGCCTTGCTGAGCATAGCTTTTCCAAGCTTTCTGGAGCTAGCCTTCCCAGGCTTGCTGGAAGAAGCCTTGGGTTTCTTCATGACTTTCTTGGGCTTTCCCAAGCCCTTAGGCTTTTCCAAACCCTTTGCCTTCATGCTTGTCATGGCTTTTTTCGGTGCCATGATGTGCCATGTCTTTTTTTTTAACACTTCAAAGCTGCTTAAGTCTACAGAAGATTTGAACAAAACTGCCACATGTACAAAATGTCATGCTTGGAAAAGCAACTTGTTCACCAAAACAGTAGCCATGAATAAACCACATGTGTTTCAGCAAAAAGGCAAGCAGCAACAACAACAACAACCAATTGCATGTATCACCTGTGCATGTTTCAAACCCAAACCAATTTGATAAACACATGTTTGTATACATATACATATTAAATGGACTTGGAAAATCTCTAGCAAAAAACAGGTTGATCCAATACAGTTATATGAATGCGCTAATTTGTGTTAGCTGTTGTTCAAATAGTTTCAATGAAATTTGTGATTGTGCATGGGCTGAAATTGTATCAAATGGGTACTATATATATATATATATACATATATGTGCAAATGCATTTCGAATAAATAAACAAATAAATAAATACATAAATAATAAATAAACAAATGAATAAATAATGAAATAAATAAATAAATAAATAAATAAATAGATAAATAAATAAAGAAATAAGTAATGAAATAAATAATGAAACAAATAAATAAATAAACAAATTGTATATACATTTTGTAACAATGAATATACTAATTTGACTTCACAAGCTATGTGACTGGTAAAATGAATTAAATCTTAAATTAAAAACAATATGGTGCTTTTCCAAGCATTCATTATTTTTTAAGATTTTTTTTAAGAAACAAAACCTATTTTTTTCTTAAGAAT